CAAAATTTAAATAAAGCGTTCAATCTAAAAAATGTTAAGCAACACTTTAATTAGGTATTTTATAGGCTTATTTCAAGTAGACAAATTCTTGCACTTCATTCAAATTGGCAATTTTTAAATAATGTCATGTTTCATATTTAATCTCAGAGTCATCAATATTTAAGCCTAAGCTTATTGCATTCATTTCTGAATACAAAATATTTCAATAAAGTCCAAACTCAAAATTTTAATCTAAATAGTCTTATTACAATACTTTGTTTAAGCACGTTTTAAGCTCATTTCAAGTAGGCAAATGTAATGTAATGATTTTTTTTGTACTTCATTCAAGTTATAATCAATTTTTAAATCAAGTCGGAATCATATTCAAGCTCAGAGTATTCGAAGCCTTCACTCCTTAATTTCTGAACATAATTTAAGTGCATTTTACGCTTATTTCAAGTAGTCGAATGCTTGTTGTAAGTACTTTGTACTTCATTCAAGTTTTTATCAATTTTAAAAGCAAGTCTGATTCGTATTCAATCTCTGGATATAATTTCTGAACACACCTAATGTGTTCTTTGCGCTCATATTAAGTAGGCATATGCTTATAATAAGTATTTCGTGCTTCATTCAAGTCTTTACCGATTTTTAAATATAATCTGATTCATATTTCATCTCAGAGAATTCAAAGAACGAACTCCACTTAAAATATTACAACATTTTGGCGTCACACTCTAGACTTTGGTGCTGCCCCTTTTCTCACAGTGTGGGCAACGCCTCCGAAACAAGTGCAGGACAACAACAACAACAAGGAGAAGAGGAAGATCAACAACCCAGCTGAACGATGCGGTTAACCCAGGCAGTCAGCCGGGTTTTGGGCTGGTATCGCTTCGGTTTTTGGTTCGGATCGGGATTGATGTGCGCTATGCGGTGGGAAATAGTCGCCCAGCCGGGGCAACAGCCACAGCCACAGCCAGAAGCCGAAACAGCGACAGCAACAACGACAACAACAACAACAACAACACGACAACAACAACAACAACAACAACGAGAACGAGAACAACACATCACGGAGATGACATTGAGGCTGTGGTTCTGGGCTGTGCCGGCTGCGGTTTGAAGCTGGGAGCAGTTCGGCGTGTCCAGGGTGTGCGTGTGTGTGTGCGTGTGTGTGTGTGTGTGTGTGTGAGAGTATCAGATTTCGAGCGCTCGAAAACATAATCATATATTAGGCGTTGTCACTTTGACATTTCGCCTGCTCTTTTACATGGCAATAATCATAATTCATTTTTCTCTCGCTCTCTCGCTGCTCGCTGCTGCTCGCTGCTGCTGCTGCTGGTGGCAAAAGGCGGGCGCGCATAAGGGGGCGTGGCAGGTTGAACGGGGCTCCCTTACGAAAATAAAGTGGCACGAAATGAAGGCATATCGCCTCGGTCTGTTTGTCTGAAACAGTTTTACGAGCTGGTAGCCAGCCGTTGCACGATGTTGACGCTGCCTGCGTCCATGTTTAATATTATTTATGGGGCTTACGTCTTGCCCGGCACACAAGGTACATATCCACACACACACACACACACACAGATCGAGTGAGAGTCTGGCGACTGCGTCTCTGACAGGCGAAATGTGAATGTGACAAAAATCTCGGCGGCGTCACATCCCAAATAATTTTCAACGAAATGCGAATGGCAAATGAAAATGAAGCTAAAGAGCTTCAGAGCTCCCGGAGGAGAGTACGCTATATAAATATGATAAATTTATATGGAATTGTTTCAGTTGTTGCGTTGTGTCTTTCATTTTGTGCCCCAAACAAAATGTGAGAATGAGTCTGTTGAGCGAAGTTGAAGTGAAATGCGCCAATTATTTTGATTAATGTCAAAGAAATCGCGTGTCTTGTGCATTTGATGTTTCCTCCTTCGGTTTTTCAACTCCCCTGCCCCGGCCGCCTCCCTCGCTCTCTTTACCTCTAGAAAATGCCTATACAGGGTCATCATTATTTGGCACGAAACTGCAGCAAAGTGCACTCACAGAAAAAGTCTAGTACGAAAGGGAATAGCATTTATAACAGTTCTAGACATTTCTGTATTCTTTCTTTTTTGAAGATTTTTTAGTTATATTTTTTTAGACCTAATGTGAACTCCATTTAAGACTTCTATTTAGAAATCAATTTTTAATATTTCTATATTTCTTAACATTTCTCTATTATTTCTTCTTTGAAGTTTCTCGAATTATATTCTTATAGACCTAATGTGAACTTCCTTTAAGACTTCTATTTAGAAATGAATTCCTAACATTTCTGGATTATTACTTTTTTGAAGATTTTTGAATTATATTAAACCTAATATGAACTCCATTTAAGGCATCTCTGTAGAAAACAATTCTTAATATTTCTATACGAATCTCATGCCCAACAAATTTGCTGCAATATAAATTGACATTTTTTTCTCTAAGTGTATGCCTCGATGATTATGACTGATGCTGGTAATCTTTGATCTGTCATTTTGCGAAAGTGAAAACAGTAGCCAACGGCTCCAAACTGATGCTCAGACATCGGCCCCTGACGTTGACGTCGCCGTTGACGTCGCCGTTGCCGTCGCCGTCGACGTTGACGTTGACGATGAGTGGGCGTTTTGTTAACCGCTTCATTGTTCGGGTCTAGACTCCGCAGATCTCGTTTGCCGCCGCCGCTGGCGATGATTGCTTTGGACAGACAGTAGCACGGCCAGCTTCCTGCGGCCGGAAAACGTGTTATTAGTGGAGAGGCCATAATTTTGTCTGGCCAAGGCGCAGATTATTGCCTGATGCTCAAAGCTATACAAATATTTCACATATATGTACATATATTGAGGTTTTCGATTTTTATTATTATCATGCCATATAATTGTGAGATGTTTAGAATTCTTGCGGTCGTATCGAAGCAGTATTTACCATGGCCATTTGCCATTTACATGTGCTATTAACGGAAGAGTAGTCGACTGTAGCCGACTGATTAATACTCTCTTGAGAAAAGGTCATCAATAATCAAGCTGCCAAATTTGGTGGCTCTAGCTCTAATAATCTCAATAATTAACCAGTTCCCGATGAGCGTGCTCTTATACATATATATTCCACCTTCGCGTTAAAAAGCGAGCCGAAAATATCACAAAGCCAACGTATGTATAAGAGAATACTTATAATCTATTTCTTCTAATGCTGCCGAGCGCACACACAGACAGTTAACCGTTATTCTTAAAGATACACTACATTCATTCATTCATACATTTTATAAGTATACTCCACCTCTGCGTTAAACAGCGGGCGGAAATATCACAAAGCAAATGCATGTATAAGAGAGCACTTATACTCTTTTATTTCTGTTTCTTCTTATACTGCCTAGCGCGCACACAGGCACAGACAGTTAACCGTTACTTTTAATAATGCACACATAACTCTCTTTTGGCAGCAACAAATTTATCAATTGTTTGATTTCGGTATATTTACATATGTAAAAGGACAAAAAAATATGTTTGGGCACATTAAATACTATGAATATTTATGGTCTCACTTACCCTTGATCAATTTATGTGTGTGTGTGTGTGTGTGCGTACATCCATAATATGCATTCCTTCTCGAACCTTACACCTATACTATTTTTTTCTCTTTTTCTATTTTCACTTATTAATTTTAACTTCACACAGCGCTTCACACAAAAAAAATTAAGAAAAAAATGACGCACTTAGCGGCAAGTTCGCCATATGCATTGCCGGCTTTTGGCTTCAATCATATCTAGATTGAACACTTAACACTATTTTTTCACTTTTTATATATTCATTTCACCATTTTCATTTCGCACAGCACTTCACCAAAAAAAAATTACGAAAAAAATTACGCAGTTCTAACGCCACTTCGCAGTGGCGGCCTTTGGCTTCGAGCATAACTAATTTATATTGTCACTGCACTACGCTAACATATTTATCAGACTGGGCAACTCGACAACTGCAGCAATTAATTTGCACTTTTAACATTTAATTTAACACATTTTAAATAACTTTTCACATTTCACTCAACACTTTTCTTTGCGCGTTCACTTGTAAGACAGCGCTACCTGATAGTTGAAATGAGTACAAAAGCAATTAAAAAACTTATTGGCAACTATTGGCGCCTTTTTGCCAATTGTCGCGCCAATTAGAAATTGCTATCGATTAAATAATAAAAAAAAAAATTATGAAAATTAAATTTTCAACATATTTTCTCTCCTATGCGCACTCAACACTATTTATTTCACATTTTATATATTCATTTCACCATTTCGATTTCGCACAGCGATTCACAAGAAAACTTACGCACTTTTAATGCCAAATTCGCAGTTGCGGCCTTTGGCTTCAAGCATAACTACAACTTTGTGTTCTTCTTTATATTCTCACTGCTTTACCAGAGCACATTTATCACACTCGGCAAGTGCAGCAATTATTTTGCTCTTTAAACATTTAATTTAACACATTTTAAATAACTTTAGACATTTGCACTCAACACTTTTCTTGCCGCGTTCCACTTGTAAGACAGCGCTACCTGATAGTTGAAATGAGTACAATTGTCGCCACAAAAGGCAATTAAAAAACTTATTGGCAACTATTAGCGCCAATCAGAAATGACTATCGATTAACTAATAAAAGCAATGTGTCGAAAGTAAATACGTTATGAGAAAAATATGTATATATTGTTATAAGCACAATTAATCAATCATTAATCAAGTCGTAAATTGGTCAAGTAAATGCGTATTTACGCATTCAAGTTAAATTGGCAACGCTTTCCAGTTGGAATATTTATTTTAATTACTCAAACTTCGACTACTTTCCAAAGAAAGTATCGATAGCTACGCCTATTCAAATTTGAAGCGAATCTTCTCTTTTTTACTACTACGACTACTTTCCAAAGAAAGTATCGATAACTACGCGAAGGGAATATTCAAACTTGAGTTTCGAATTCTGATGCAGTTCTGTTATAAATAAAATAAGTAATTCTATTTATTATCGCTTTACTTGCAGTTTTTTTGGCACTCGCCGCTGTTCCCGCTGCCTGGCGTCGATCAGCTCCAACGAGCTGGTAATGCGCGCCCGCAACCTGGTTTTCCATGTCAACTGCTTCTGCTGCACGATCTGCCACACGCCGCTCACCAAGGGCGATCAGTACGGCATCATCGACGCGCTCATCTACTGCAGGTGAGTCCAATTGGAATACAAGTGAACCCGTTAAGCTAATTGGAATTCTCGTGACCTTTTGCAGAACTCACTATAGCATAGCGCGGGAGGGCGATGCCGCCTCGTCGACGAGCATGAGCGCCACGTATCCGTATAGCACACAGTTTGGTTCGCCGCACAATGACTCGTCGAGTCCGCATTCGGATCCCAGTCGCAGTATTGTTCCTACCGGCATCTTTGTGCCCACCACGCATGTCATCACCGGACTGCCGCAGCCCGCGCGCCAAAAGGGCAGGCCGCGCAAGCGCAAGCCCAAGGATATCGAGGCCTTCACAGCGAATATAGGTGCGTTGTAAATGCCACAGACTGCCCATAAAAAACGAAAAGTCTTTATGGTCCCCGACCTGGCGCCAGTGCAGCCGCCTTTTTTATGTGAGACCCGGGCATAAAAACCATCGTAAAACCTGCGGCCCAAAAGTTGTAAAACTCGCGAACATCTTCTGTCTAAATGTAGAACTTGTTCCGACTGACAGGTTATCGCAAGAGCTAAAGCTTCCTTCTGGCAAGGGATCGCAGCCGAGTAAAGGGCTGCCCAATCCCGTCTAGAATTTGCGCTCGTCCTTGTTCCGACTGACAGGTTATCGCAAGAGCTGAAGCTTCCTTCTGGCAAGGGAAAGGGCTGCCCAATCCCGTCTAGAGTTTGCACTCATATTTGCATATGCCTCCCATTGCAGATCTCAATACGGAATATGTGGACTTTGGGCGTGGCAGCCACATGAGCGCCTCGTCGCGCACCAAGCGGATGCGCACCTCGTTCAAGCATCATCAGCTGCGCACCATGAAATCCTACTTTGCCATCAATCACAATCCGGATGCCAAGGATCTGAAGCAATTGTCACAGAAAACCGGTTTACCAAAGAGAGTCCTACAGGTGAGCGCCACTCAAAATAGACTAAAAGCGAGTCTGACAAATGTTTTGTTTCTTGTCCAGGTTTGGTTTCAGAATGCGCGCGCCAAATGGCGTCGCATGATGATGAAACAGGATGGCAGCGGCATGCTGGAGAAGGGCGACGGCACCTTGGATCTGGACAGCATTTCGGTGCACAGTCCCACATCGTTTATGCTCGGCGGTTCGAACAGCACGCCGCCGCACAATCTCGACTAACAGCTGCTCCGGGAACGGGCACGGGAGCAACAACTGGAGCTGGAGCTGCAACTGCTGCAGTCGAGCGGCAATGGACGCTGCTCGCCGGCGCTGCTGTCGTTGGCGGACCTGTTGAATGGCAGCAACGATTAGCTTGTACGAATACTCAACAAAATAGGAAGCACGACTAGCGGATACCCTGAACCCAGCCGGACAACAAATTCTAGCTATCCCTTATTTAAAATTTCAAGTCTCGAGCTCTTAGAGTTGTCGAGATCAAAGCTAATCCCGATCAAGAGGAGCTGCCTCCCGCTGCCTGTTACACACATTTGCACAAAGCTAATATGCCCGTTTCAATGGGGTTCAGGGTATGAGTTGCATGTAGTTGCACCTGAGACTGGATTTCATCTAACACCAGAACAAGGTTCTCTCTCTTAAGTTCAGATCTAACGCACCAACAGGCCCAAAAAAAATGTTGTTTCTATTTCGAACGTTCATTTGTAAATATTGTACTAGAACCTTAGTAATATTGCGCTTACCAGAATATTGTTAATACTTATTACAAATATATATATATATATATATTTGCATATATATTATATACAGATATAGATATGCATGGGTTTATATCTGGCATACGCATTGAATAAACAAATCTAATATATAAATTTAATATTTATTGCCCCCCCACACATTACATAGTTAGAGATGAATTTAGTTTAACGAAGCGCTCTATATATATATAAATATATATATATATATTTATCTGTCGTAGTATTACGGTAATTTACTTGCTTCGCAAAAAAGAACTTGATAATTATTCGAGGCAATGCAATTTGGAAGCAAAGTGAATTAACACAAATTTGTACTTACAAATAGTTTAAACATAAGTCGTACCATAGAAGCCAAATAAAAATTATTAAAAAAAGCAACGTGAATCATTATTGATTAAAACTATTCTGAGATTTGGTTCATATTATAAAATAGCCAAATCGGAATCAATCCCAAGTCAGCAAGAATTCCAGATTATATTATCCCATTTTTCTATTTTTTAAAAGTATTTTAACGAAGTCCCTAGATAAACAGGAATTAATCAAGCTCTGGGATAATTAGTTACAATAGGCGTACTTAACCGAAACTAAGTAGACTGATTAGCCCTAACATTTCTTAGAACAACTCATTAAGCTCTAACAGAAAGGATTAAGCAAATATATTCGGAACTTACAACAAATTATTTTTAGACAAGCATTTTGCGCCCCTTACTTAATTTAAATACAACCAATTCCAGTTAAGTGAAAAATAATTTATTACAAAACATTATAAATTAATTAAGAGTGAGATTGTTTTCTTTTCTTTTCCGTGTGTGTGTGTGTGTGTGTGTTTGTTGTGTTTTGCTTTTGCATCGAAACTTACAAACTAACAAAAATCTCAATACATGCAGCTAATGGGCCGAAAAAACATATATATATATATAAAATTTAGATTCATTTACGTCGCGTTAAAATATCAATTGTTTTTTAGTTTTTCGTTTGTTTGTTTGTTTGTTGCACTTAGGTCGCTAATACAATTACACAAAAATAAATGTCTTTTATAAATGTTGCATGAGTTTTGTAATAAAAACAAAAACTCTCGGTTCTTGTTACGTTTGTTTTTTGGGTGCACAGCAAAATGATTAACGAGCAAAAAACACGTAGATAAGGCAAACTTTATAAACAATTACGACGAGCCGTTAACGTTGATAACTCTTAATATATTAATGTGTGTGTGTGTGTGTTGTGTGTAGATTTGTTTGTTTTTGTTTTGTTTTGTATAAAGTAGTTTTGATGGGGCGCAAGCTGATAATGTTTCTTGTTGCGACACAATTCCAATTTAATTATGCAATATGTATTAAAAGCTCCGCACCGTGCGCATAAATATATTTTAGTTGGGACTAGTTAAGGATTAATTCAACTAGGAATTTCTAAGTATTTCGTGTCGTGTGTGCATGAGTGTGTTATTTGTGTGTGTGTGAGTTAATTTAATATTTATGTATATAACTAGAGAGCATGTTGTTGTTGTTGTTGTTGTTGCAATTGCTATTTAGCACAATTCAGCTGCTGTTCTTCACGCCAATGTTGACTGTATCTAGATCTGCGACAAGTTCATCACAGGCCGCCGCTTGATTTTTGGCCAATGCCTCGCGACGCTGACGCTTCATTTCCAGCAATTGTTTACGCTGCGCCTCCCGCTTCATCGCTGCCACCGCATTCGACGCAGCTCCTCCAGTTGTTTTCGCTTTGCCCGACTTTGCAGCTGGTTTTGTTGTTGTCTTATTGTTGTCCAACTTGGGCTCGATAGCGCGCTAAAAAGTAAATATAAACCTGGCTTGAAACAGCTTCAAAAAACTCATAAATAAATGACTCACCTGCCAGTCGCTGCGCTTTAGTTCCTCAATATCCTCGAATATGGTGTCGACATGCATCACCTGCAAATAAACCATGTCCCAGAAGCCCTGCAAATCGTCGAGCGTGGTGGGAAACGCATCCTCCGGCGAGCGATTCAGATTGTTGTGACAAAGACCTGCAAGGAAACAGATATACTATATATATATTTAATCCGAATTGGAGTTGGGACTCACCCTCGAACTGTTTCATTTTCTGTGTGGCAAGCAGACGCGCCTTGCCGGAGGCCGAACGCAGTAGCCCGAAAGTGTCCTCCGTGATATCGGGATTGTTCTGCAAATGAGCCAAATCAAATACTATCTAAGGGAATCCTTCATCGACTCTCAGTCTACTCACAGTCAAGGCATCGATATACTTGTCAGCTACGGCGGCCAGCGCGAGCAGACGAACCTGTTCGTCTTTCAGTATTTTCAGGAAATAGTTGCCATCCTTAACCACGGCCGCCGCCGTTTTCTTGGTTTCAGGCATGGTCTTGGCAGCGGCGGCCAGCTCGACGGGCGCCGAGATTTTGGTGGTGCCCAAGTACTCCTCCTCGGTGCGTACGGGCTCATGATCCACCACATCCGCCGCCGGCGGCGGCGGCACCGGCACCACCAGCTCCGGCGCCGGCGAAAGGCGCTGCACATTGCGCTTGGGCGATACCGTCGGCAGCTGTGCACGGAACTCATGACTCAAATGCCTAAAGACGGGCAAGTCGACATCGCCGTTGTGCGTGGCCGCCGGCTGCTCCGATTGCGAGCGGGCCGTCGCAGCTTGTGTGCAATTCGTTTGGAGTTTCTTGCGAAACTCGCCGTAATCCTTGCTGGGCGAGAGCTGCTTAAACTTGCGCGACAGCTCCGTGATTTGTGGCGACTCCTGCCGAGATTGTTGCTGCGATTGTTGCTGCTGCTGCAGCAGCTGCTGCTGTCGTGCAACGGGCGACGCGCTGTGCTTTTTGGGACTGTAGAAGCCCTGAGCAAGTGCGCCCGGACCGTAGAGACGCTCCACGCGCTGCTGTATAAAGCTGCCGGTTGTTGTTGTTGTCGTTGCGGCGCTGCCATTGCAATATCCGTGTCCATCTCCGTTCTCCAGATGTCCGTTTTTGCTGCTGCTGTTGTTGTTGTTTGTCTCGTTGATGATCATTGTGTATTTGTTGGGCTGCTGGGTGAGCGGCATTGTGTGCAGCAGCGGCGCCGCCAGCGAATTGTTGCGCTTGCAATACTGCAGGCTGCTCGTGGAGGCTCGTATGGGCGATACTTCGCGCGACTTGTTGATATCCTGCCGTATCTTCGAGTCGTAGGTAGTCAGATTCGAGTAGCCGTTGACGCAGCACGCCAAATTCAAATAGCTCGGCTTCTTCTCTGCCGCATCCACGAGGACGCCGCCGTTGCTGCCGTTGTTATGGGTCTGCTGCTGCTGCTGCTGCGAGTCATCGACCAGGTGGTCCGGCGGTGACAGCACCATGCGCACACCGCCCGTGCTCTGATCCAGATTGACGTAGGCGTTTGTGGTTAGCGTACGCAGTGTGCAACGTTCCTTTATGTTGGCCGTAAATTCGCGCGTTATGTCCTTGACGGAGAGGGGCGTTGGAAAGTTTAAGCTGCCGCTTGTGTCTGTAAGAGTTCACCAAAAAACAATAAACAAAAGAAAATATATACATATAACAATACCAGAAAAAGAAATCGAAAAAGTAAAACCAAAAAGAAACGAAAACGAACAAAATCCAATAAGATAGCTCACACAACATTGAGGTTAGGTGCGCGTGCATGTGTATGTGTGTGTGTGTGTGTGTGTGTGAATGATATACCTGATATGTCGGATGAATCGGCATCAACATCTAATGAACAGCTGCCAATGGAATCCAAGCTGCGATCCATGGGAAGAGCTTTCGGCTGCTAGAGACGAATTATTTGAAAGTATTTTGGTGTTTTTTTTTTTGGGGGGTTTTTTTTTTCTATTTTTTGTGCACTTTTCTATTAATTTGTGAATGTTTTCTGTTAATCAAAACGAGTTCAAATTCGACATAAAACAACAAAAACTAAACCAATACACATTAGCCAGTTCGACTATCAGGCTCTAAGCTCGCTTAATGCGCTTAAAATGAACGCCCACTGAGCTAGATTTGTTTGTGTGTACTTGGAATGGCGTGCAAAAGAGAAATGCAGTGAAAAAAAAAAATAAGAAAAAAACAACTGAGCAAACAAACCAAATGGGCGATGACTTTTTATAATATTTTTGCCTTTTATGCAAAGCGGAAACTGCGGCGAATGGGGGCGAAAATGCGAGTGCAGATCGTTCGCCCGTTTTGGACAGCGCCAAGGCGACAAATGAATAACTGTGCATTACTGCGCGAGAGCGCGCGCGCGCGCGGGTGGGTGGCGCAGCAAAAATGTCTGCCAAAGCAGACGGCGAATAAATGATGACAACAACAAGCGCTGCGCGGCGCGGCGCAGCAGCCGCAACGCAAAGCTTTTGAGCTGCGCGCTATTGGAGATTGGAGATTGGTTTTATCATACCCTAGCTGAAGGTAATATTACTTTGTCACAACATGTGTAACGCCTAGGAGACATCTCCAAGCAGATTACGTGTTTGTGTATATATTACAACCTGTAATAGATCCGTGTATTTGCCATGTTCCACATGTATCACAATATCATATGGCGCACAGTTAATCAATAAGTCGGGTATTTTTATGTCTGCAAGGGTATTTCACCTTCGGCATAACTGTTTTACTTGGTTTTTTTTTTTTGCTTCTATTGTCGCCGCTCTTCTTTGGTCTTGTCTGCGCCATATTTGTTGTTGTTGCTGCTCAGTCGGCAGCTTAAGAGCTGGGAGCAGCTCTAACGGCACCGACTGACGTCTACATTTCCAGTTCCGCTTTGCTAACTTTTCGCCGTTGTTTAACGTGTTTTCTGTTGTTGTTGTTGTTCATCTTGAACACAGTTTGTTCTTTTTCCACTTCTAATTCCCATAACATGACACAGCTTGGAACTAATTACACAAACAAATAATTGGCAGCAACAGCAGCAGCAGCGCCCCAGGCACCCAACTCCGGCGCAGCAGCAACAAAAACGCCAACTATTTATAATCCGGGCGCGGAGACACCAAAAGGGGAGCAAAGCGAAACCGTGCGACACGTTAAACGGCAAGAAGTCACAGTCACAGAAAACATGACTATGCCGCTCAGCAGCGCCAGCGGCAGAGGCAGAGGCAGCGCCAGCAGCGGTCGCTGGTATTTGGAGTCAACAGCCACAACCGCAGCGGCACGCAATATGTTCTATTTTAGTCGCTGAAATTTATTATAATGAGTTTACAAAACGCAAACAACGAGGTCGTCCAAATGCCTGGCACAAAAAGGACAAGTCCTTTGAGTAAAAAATACCATCGGCTCGCAGGAATTATGCAAATTTTAGCACAAATACTTTACTGATGCGAGACGCCGCTTACACGCAGAACACACAGAACTTGACAAATGCAAACGTCACACATACACACAAGGATGACAGCACTGCAGCTCACGTACGTACAGAAAACGGTACACGCACACATGGACACATTAATTAATAAACAAGCAACACCCACACACCTCTGGCGCTCCTTTCGTCAAGCAGTTGCTGTTGTGAATGATTATTGAAGCGTTTATCAGCTTTGTGACATAATTTTAAATGCAATTAACTCGCGAATGCCTCGACTGTTGCAGCGTTTGCGTTTTTATCTTAACTGCGGCAAATGACGGCCGATAGACGATAGATTGTGGTGGTCGGGCGATCTATGGTCGCTTAGTTATGGTACGAGTATCGCAAGTATCGATATTGCACAAAGCAACAAATTGCTAGGGTTGCTTTAAATTATAAACGAAAAAATGGTTATATTTATATAATGTTATCAAGAGTAAAATGCCAGATTTAAGTGTAAATAATAACCATAATCGTGCACATCTTATATTAAGTTTGTACAAAATGCAAAAAAAAAGCCGGCAAGTTGACATGCACTTGTTTACTCGCCAAACTGTTGACACTCAGCAGGCTGCTCATTCTCTCTCTCTCTCAACGTACAGCTTACGTACAAACAATGTATGTACGTAAGTTTTCTTTCTTTCGCTCTACACGTTCGCTATTCATTCGCACTTTAGAGGCCGAAACGGAAAGACGTTTTAAATTCCGGTGCAGATCAATTAAGCCTACAGGAATCGTTAATAATTTATATTGTTGCACTCTAAGAAAACTTGATAAAATGGCGGAGCTTCCCACTGAAATGAAACAGCTATTCGAGTAAGTATGCGGAAAAAAAGCCGCTATATATATATGGGTGTGTGTGTGTGTGTGTGTGTGTGTTGGGTTATGGATGCGGGATGACGATGCCACGGCTGCATATACATACATACATACAGACATGCATCCATATACATATGCTCGTATATATGTATATCCTGCTTATCTGTTTGTTTATGGTTTTTGTCGTACTCTCGTACTTTATGCTTGATAATAAGGGCGGTAGCAACAGTTGCCGATAAGAGTTTTTTTTTTTTTTTTTGCCAAGCGTCGAGTCAAAGAAATTCAAAAAATGAAAGTGCACGTCCATAATTTTGATTTGAAAATTGCAACTAAATAAATTGCACGAAACATTCGCGCTCGTGCTTCGAATGAGGTTGCATTAAGTAGAATATGCGACTGCGTTCACTTTGTCCAATCAGAAATGTCCCAACAAGATAATACCAGATATAACAGCTATATTCGGCAAGCCGAAGACTAAATACCTTTTATTATATACTTGCTATGGATACTACAGAATGGTTCTTCGAAATTCTATATTAAAAGAAATATAATGATTCATGGAGTTTTTAAAATCCTTAATGTCACTCTTAATATTATTATCTATTAAATTGAATATATGAATATATTTGTTAAAGGAATAAAATAAAAAGGTAAAATCTGTTAAAATTGAACATTTTATATAAAAATATAATATTTATTCAATCGTCACTCACAAAGTAGAAATTTTAGCGAAGAATTCCAAATTCTGTCGAATCGCGAATATTTAATGTATTCAATATATTCCTAAAATATTTGAAATTTATTCATGTTCAAGAACTTTATTTTAAGACTTTATGAAAATTTCGACACAATTTTTGTTTTAAAAATTGCAATATTTAAAAGAATTAATTTCTTATGTTTGATAATATTTCAGATCTATAAATTTCCTTAGTCCGTCCTAGCTGACTAAAAATCTATTAAAATCAAAATCTGTGTAACAGAAAATAATCAAAATTACAATTTTATACGTGTATAAAGAAAATTGCAACATTTCGAGTATCTAATTTCCTAGATTAATCGTATAAATTGAAATTTAAAAATTCATTATGTTTAATAATAGTTTTTATACTCTTGATTTACTAGGAGATCCCTAAATTTCCTGGTTACAATCTTAGTATTGAATTATTATATGAAAATCAAAATCTGGAAATCGGAATATAATCATAATTATATTTTACACATGTAAAGAAACATATAAGAAAGCTTTTCTCGCGGTTTTTTGAATTGGATTTTTTCTAATAAGATTGGAGATTACTAAGAGATCCATAATTCCCTGGTTCCTAGATTAGTATTAAATTATTAAAATAAAAATCTGGAAATCGGAAAATAATCAAAATTATTGTTTTATACATATATAGAAATAATAAGAAAGCTTTTCTCGCGGTTTTTAAATTTACGATAGCAAATGTCTGCCTTCCATAATGAATAAGAATTTTTCTGATAAGATTGATAAGCTTATGGAAACCATGTACGACGCGATTATCAACATTTGTGTAACCGCAGGCTTAACCCATACAAAATATGTATTATCAGCACATTTCACACGACATCAAAATCTGTGGAAACCCAAGTCTAATCTAGTTTATCGTTCGCCGCAGGTTTGTGAATAGCAAGAAGTCCGATTATATTGAGACCCTGAGAACCGCGGTGGCCATCCAATCGGTGTCCGCGTGGCCGGAGAAGCGCGGCGAGATCGATCGCATGGTCAACTGGACGGCCGATAAGCTGAAGGCGCTGGGCACCGAAATCGAGCTGGTCGATTTGGGCAAACAGAAGCTGCCCACGGGCGAGGAGATACCGCTGCCGAAGGCTCTGCTGGGCACGCTGGGCAAGGATAAGAGCAAGAAAACGGTGCTCGTCTACGGACACTTGGATGTGCAGCCTGCGCTCAAGGAGGATGGCTGGGATACGAATCCCTTTGAGCTGACCGAAATCGATGGCAAGCTCTTTGGACGCGGCGCCACGGACGATAAGGGTCCGGTCCTCTGCTGGATTCATGCCATCGAGGCGTTCCAGAAGCTGAATATCCCGTTGCCACTGAATCTGAAGTTCGTCTTTGAGGGCATGGAGGAGAGCGGCAGCGAGGGACTCGATGAGCTGTTGATGGCGCGCAAAAATGATTTCCTTGCCGATGTCGACTATGTGTGCATCTCGGACAACTATTGGCTGGGCAAGAAGCGTCCCTGCCTGACCTACGGCCTGCGTGGCCTCGCCTATTTCCAGGTGGAGGTCGAGTGCGCCTCAAAGGATCTGCACAGCGGCGTCTTTGGCGGCACCGTGCACGAGGCCATGCCCGATCTTTGCTATCTGCTCAGCAGCCTCGTGGACAAGGACACCAAGATATTGATACCTGGCGTGGATCGCGATGTGAGTGGAGCTCTCACAGCTATTCCCAGCTATTCTCAACTGTTGTTTGCCTTTTAGGTGGCTCCGCTATTGCCGAACGAGGAGGAAATCTACAAGAATATCGACTTTGAAGTGGCCGAGTACAAGTTAGTTACCTAATCTAATCTCGACTCTCTATATTACCTAATCTGCCTCGCACTCATAGAAAAGACGTTGGCGTCGAACATCTGCCGCACAATGGCAACAAGATTCGCCTGCTGCAGGCCAGATGGCGTTATCCCAGCCTCTCCATACACGGCATTGAGGGCGCCTTCTATGAGCCCGGCGCCAAGACTGTCATACCAAAGAAAGTCATTGGCAAGTTCTCGATACGGCTGGTGCCCGATCAGGATCCCAAGCACATCGAGGAGTGCGTTGTCAACTATATCAATGCCAAATGGGCCGAGCGCGGCTCGCCCAACAAGCTGAAGGTGCTGCTCGGATATATTTATATTCATATTTAAGCGCAGCTAATGTTCTGCTTTTGTTAATCTTAGGTGGTGATGCTGTCCGCTGGCAAACCCTGGACCGAGGATCCAAATCATCCGCATTATGAGGCCGCCAAGCGTGCCATTAAGCATGTCTTCAATGTGGAGCCCGATATGACACGCGAGGGCGGCTCCATACCAGTTACACTCACCCTGCAGGAGGCCACCGGCAAGAATGTGATCCTGGTGCCGGTCGGCGCCTGCGATGATGGCGCACACTCGCAGAACGAGAAGATCGACATCTACAACTATATCGAGGGCGTACGTTTACTCACATCTTCTTTCCTTTCCGTCTATAACTTGTATTCCCTTTGCAGACCAAGCTGCTGGGCGCCTACTTGCACGAGGTGGGCAAGCTGTAAAGAGACGATTTTAATTGGGATCCAATCCACGACATCACGATGCAACATCACAAATGTGCGCTTATACGAATATTATGAATGAAAATTAAATTCTAAACATATTATAATCATTTTAACTTTTATATGCGCTTTGTATTTAAAAGCAAGCGAATAAATTAACAATGGCATTTATATAAGCACGAGGCTCTCCTAATCTGTCCAGGAATCGCCGTATTTGTTCTTTTTGCCGGGGCTGGCGAACTGTTCCACGGGACGCTGCTGTTGCTGCTGCGGCTGCTGGACGGGCGCCTCGTAGGGCCTGGAGTAGGCGCTTTGCTGATGCTTTGCGTACTCCTCGCGATTCTTTTTGCGCAAGTCCTCGTAGCTCTCGCCCGGCTTGGCTGGCTCCAGCGGCAGCTCCGTGTCCACCATTGTGCTGGCTGCTGCTCAAAACCGAGAAACAACAACATTCAATTATATAAAATAAACAAAATATAATTTCAATGCACAAACGCACAGTCCAGCGTGGGCCTGTATATATCATCGAGTCCGGAGAGATTCGGTCGCGCGTCCGTGTCCAGATTAAGGGCCGTATTCCGCGATGGCCGATGGCCCTCATCCGTGTACACATCCGCCGAGCTGGGCGTAAAGGGCGCCAGGGTAAACGCCCGACCCAGATTCTCGTCCGGCGTTATGGTGCTAATGACACCGCCGCCCTGGCGACGCTGACGCAGCAGTTCGCCCAATCGTGAGTTGGGCAAACGCATGATTTTCTCAGCGCATTTTTGCTGATAACTGAACTTGCCCACAAAATAGCCCAGAATGACGCCCATTATGACCTTGGGCACGGCGCCGTATTTGCCATTGCCCTGCAGATAGCCGTTCTTGACGCCAAAATAGGCCAACAGACCCAGGCCCGTGCCAAAGGGCAGCGAGCGCTGCACAAACGATTCCTGATTGCATTCACGTAACGCCTTCAGCTCCTCCGGACTGAAATGGTAGTCCGTCTGCAAAGAGCAAGTCAGTCTTTGCTAGGTTAGGGTATATTCGCGGCTTACCAACGGATGCTGATTGGGCGGCGTCTGCGGATTGCTGCCATCGTTTAGCGTTAGGTCCATAACAGTAATTGTTGAAATTATTAAAAAAAAATTCACGAAATTGCACCAGGCGGTTATCGCCGGCCCCTAGAGTATGTTTATTCCCTTATCGATACATCGATAGGTTAGAGATGTGCCAATGCTCTCAATATGTTAATGTGCTGTAGCAAAATTAGCAGGGCTGCTCTTAGTGTTATCGGAAGACCAAATCGTGCTTATCGCCATAAAAAATTTTAAAAAATATTTATGTTTTGTAAACAAATAATTTGTAAGATGATTAAAATTTAATGGCTGGTGTTCTGGCAAACGAACCATGGGAAAAACGTAGCTCATATGGGAATCGGCATATTGTGGGCTAAGGTATGTCCATGAATAACTAGTTATTTTTTATTTTTGTTAATTTCATTAATTATTATTTTTTAATTTTAATTCAGCATTTACCATGATGGAGAAATCCCTATTGGGCGACGTCCGTTGTTATATAAGTTTTAATTCCGGCAAAAAAAACTTTTATAGCCTACTTTTAGGTGTTCACATTTAATCACCACAAGTCTTGATATTTGAATCTTATCAGATTTAACATTTACAGCTATTTAAGAGCCCAAGAATTTTTGATCCTGAATTGGGAAAACAGAATCTTTATATTTTTGTTTGTATTTTAATTTTAGTTTGGTTTTCTTAAGCTAGTTTATGTGGAACATGTGCAATGTTTGATTAATTGAGTGCAATTCCAATCAGAACAATTATTTATATTTAATTTAAAGTATATATAGTTATTATAGGCTACTAATTGCGGGCAACTCCACAGCTGAACTCGGTTGTATTTTAATTGAATAACGGCAGCCGAGGACAGCTTTGGGATACCCTTTGCTTTGGCTGCGAACAATCGGCAATAACTGGCGAATAACAATAAATGAAAGTCTGGTTGCCAAAATTGGTAACTGGTCAAAGTCAATGCAATGTCTAGATGTTGCCGCTGCCGCTGTCACGCGAACGTCAGTTGACAAAAAAACATGAGCCAGAGCCTGCGTCTGCGCCTGTTTTCGCCTTTTTCGCCTGCACATGGATAATTTCTTGTGAAAAATCTCGGCTTCATGTTGCGACGTATGTATGTTTTGCTTGAATAAAATCAAAGCAAAAAGGAACGCGGCTCGTCAAATGCCAGCGCCAAATGCAGCAGCCAGCCGATTGACTGGCCTGTGGGCACCTTTGCTTGTTGTTGTTGTTGCCATACCCTGTTCGAAGCGCTCAAAAGGGTTTATTAGTTGCTATCCGCATTTAAATTGCAATCCAACAAGCCACAAATCCAATTTGTGTTAGTTATCCGCATAGATATCGATACTTTTCGACATGATAATCGATATATGTATACAGTGTCTAATGCGAAATCGATAAGAGTTGCCAATTGTTTTTACGATTTTAGCGATTTCGATTGTCAGGCAGCGCTGTTTTATAAAAGTTGCTGAAATGAACGGTGTTAAATGTAAATGTGAAAAGTTGTATAAAAAGTGTTTAATAAATGAAGATTTCAAGTGCAAACCAATTGGTGTCGTTGCAGCGTTTAGATGGCAGCGATTTGCATGTATCAGAGTGAGAATATAAAGTTGCACTTGATGGCAAAGAACTCCACAATAAATTGCAAAAAATGGCGCCAAGAGTTGCCGGTTTTTTTATTTATATATTTTTTTTTGGTGATGATTTTTGTGATAGCAAAGTGGAAAATAGTTTCTGTATTTACAAAGCGTGCAATTAAATGGTGAAATATCATCTTGTAATGCAACGATCGAAGAAAAAAGAAAATGAAAAAAAAGTATTTGCATGCACACATATGCATGCATAAGTATGTATGTATGTACACACGCAAAAAGTACGAAAGGCAAATGCAGGCATACATATGCATATGTAAGTTTGTATGTATGTACACATGCATATACTAATGCACTTCTTGCGAATGAATAGAGGGTAAGTAGAAACTCTTAATTTCTTAACTGTTATTGTTTATAGCATTTTGAATTTATTTACTGAAATCGCAATTAATAATAATATAATATATATATATAGCTATAAATATCGGTTAACTGTTTAAGTATGTGCGCTCTAGAGAGCAGACGAGTATAAGAGAGCCAGAGCACTCTCTTATACATGCCAAAAGTAGCAGATATAAATAACGGTTAACTGTTTAAGTGTGCTAGAGAGCAGACGAGTATAAGAGTATAAGAGAACAGAAGTACTCTGCCAAAAGCAAAGCAATATTAAATTGTGTATAAGACGGCTTCGTTTAGTTTTAACGCCGCAAAGAGAGTACTTTGCAGCCAGGTCGAGCCGACTGCAGTGTTCTTTTTCTTACCTGCAGTTGTTGTTGTTACGCTCAGCCATAAAGCACCTTGTCGCTGCCCTCATAGACGCAGTCGCAGCGCTTGAAGGAAAGCGAGATGCGGCACTCGATCTTCTGCTAAACAAACCGTTTGACCTTGACCCAGCTAAATGGCAATTGTATGTAACTGTAAAGTCAGGTTCATTACGCGTCGCCTACTAGATAAACCGGCCAGGCCCAGGCGTGGCGGGGCGGGGCGGGGCCAGTCCAGCAAGCGAACACACACAGTGTGTACAGTGGTCTGTCCTGCTGATGATTGCCTTTAGAACTGTTGGCTCTTGTATTTACTCTTGGCCTGGTTAGCATCTGCAGCTTTTGCAGCGTTTGGCTAACGATGTTCGATGCAAAGCCCGTTGATTAGCGACCACCTGCAAATTTCATTTGCATCCAGCGAGACGGCTCGTTGCAGTTGCTTCAGCCAATGTATTGTATAAATCAAATACATAATTAGTATCTAATTTTGTTGGAGCTGCACACTGCTATAATAACTCATCATAGACTCATGCTGCGAATTTACGGTATAAAGTAAATCTTCTCTATATATAAAACTGTTTGTCCACACTGACTGACTGACTGATTGGCAACATTATTCTTGGTCAAAATTAATTTGAAAACAGTACTCTTAAATTTTCTATATAGACATAGGTCAAAATTTCCATCAGGTTTGGCTCTTTCTTCATGGTTTGGCCTCTAGATCAATTTTGCATCAAAATCTGGTAACATTATTTTTGGTCAAAACTCATGTGAAAATGGTACCTTTATATACCCTATATAGCCTATATAGACATACATATGTAGGTCAAAATTTCCCACCCCTATAACTCGGTCAAAACTCAACCGATTTCCATTAGGTTTGGCTCTTTGTCCATGGTTTGGCCTCTATATCAATTCTGCATCTTAAATCTGGCAACATTATTTTTGGTCAACATTCATGTGAAAATAGTACCCTCAAATATCCTACATAGACATATGTCAAAATTTCCCACCCTCATACCTCGGTCAAAACTCAACCGATTTCCATCAGGTTTGGCTCTTTCTTTATGATTTGGCCTCTAGATTAATTTGGCATCAAAATCTGGGAACATTATTTTTGGTCAAAATTCATGTGAAAATGGTACCCTCAAATATCCAATATACCATATATAGACATATATCAAAATTTCCCACCCCTATAACTCGGTCAAAACTCAACCGATTTCCATCAGGTTTGGCTCTTTGTTCATGGTTTGGCCTTATATCAATTCTGCATCAAAATCTGGCAACGTTATTTTTGGTCAACATTCATGTGAAAATAGTACCCTCAAATATCCCATATGGACGCAGGTCAAAATTTCCCACCCTCATAGCTCGGTCAAAACTCAACCGACTTTCGTCAGGTTTGGCTCTTTCTTCATAGTTTGGCCTTTTTATCAATTCGGCATCAAAATCTGTGGGAACATTTCTTTTGGTCAAAATTCATGTGAAAATGGTACGCTTATATATCCTATATACCCTATATAGCCATAGGTTAAAATTTCCCACCCCTCTAACTCGGTCAAAACTCAACCGATTTCCATCAGGTTTGGCTCTTTCTTTATGATTTGGCCTCTAGATTAATTTGGCATCAAAATCTGGGAACATTATTTTTGGTCAAAATTCATGTGAAAATAGTACCCTCAAATATCCCATATGGACGTAGGTCAAAATTTCCCACCCTCATAGCTCGGTCAAAACTCAACCGACTTTCGTCAGGTTTGGCTCTTTCTTCATGGTTTGGCCTCTAGATAAATTTTGCATCAAAATCCGGCAACATTATTTTTGGTCAAATTTCATGTTAAAATGGTACCTTTATATACCCTATATAGCCGATATAGCCATAGGTCCAAATTTCCCACCCTCATAGCTCGGTCAAAACTCAACCGATTTCCATCAGGTTTGGCTCTTTCTTTATGATTTAGCCTCTAGATCAATTTGGCATCAAAATAATCTGGGAACATTATTTTTGGTCAAAACTCATGTGAAAATGGTACGCTTATATATCCTATATACCCTATATAGCCATAGGTTAAAATTTCCCACCCCCATAGCTCGGTCAAAACTCAACCGATTTCCATCAGGTTTGGCTATTTCTTTATGGTTTGGCCGCTAGATAAATTTTGCATCAAAATCCGGCAACATTATTTTTGGTCAAAATTCATGTGAAAATGGTACCCTTATATATCCTATATGGACATAGGTCAAAATTTCCCACCCACATAACTCGGTCAAAACTCAACCGATTTTCGTCAGGATTGGCTCTTTCTTCATGGTTTGGCCTCTAGATAAATTTTGCATCAAAATCCGGCAACATTATTTTTGGTCAAATTTCATGTGAAAATGGTACCTTTATATACCCTATACAGCCTATATAGACATAGGTCTAAATTTCCCACCCTCATAGCTCGGTCAAAACTCAATCGATTTCCATCAGGTTTGGCTATTTCTTTATGGTTTGGCCGCTAGATAAATTTTGCATCATCAAAATCCGGCAACATTATTTTTGGTCAAAATTCATATGAAAATGGTACCCTTATATATCCTATATGGACATAGGTCAAAATTTCCCACCCCCATAACTCGGTCAAAACTCAACCGATTTTCGTCAGGATTGGCTCTTTCTTCATGGTTTGGCCTCTAGATAAATTTTGCATCAAAATCCGGCAACATTATTTTTGGTCAAATTTCATGTGAAAATGGTACCTTTATATACCCTATACAGCCTATATAGA